TGGAAAATTAATTGAATGTGTTCAATTAATGACTGAACAGTGAAAAACTCTTTACTTCCTTTACATCATTTCATTTATTATAAAAGGAATCTTCACCCACCTTACATCATCATTGTCAAATCAACTTACCCACTGTGAAAATTTCTACAACCTTCTTACACCTTCAAGAAATCACCATGTTCATCATCACTTCAATTAGCTCTTCCAAAAGCTCTCAAACACCCAAAACTCGGAACAGGAAGAAGTGTCCTCTCTTCCAATTGTCTCTTACAAAGAACCTCAAGTCGAACCCACTTCATCCTCTACACCACAAAACCCTAAGTCTGCTGAAACAGAGGACATAACCTCTGAATCAATTCTTCAAAAGTTGAAAGAGTGGAAAGAGATGAAAGAAAAGAGAAAGACGGTTGAAGAACACATCAAAGAAGTGGAGGAGTTTGCTGAGAAAATAGAGGATTCAGAGAAAGAAAATTCTGAGAAAGAGGAAGACGAAGAGACCAGTGATCAAGCAGAGCTTGAATCACAAGCTGGAAGGTATGTTGTTGGTCACCGTATTTATTTGACTTGGTGTAGAAAATCTAGGTTCCTAGAATTTCTTGATTTAATTAAGTTCCAAGGATGGGAATACTTGTTGTCTAAAGCCTCTGATAATTACATGTACCCAATTTCCATGACTGAGTTTTTTCAGAATTTTGAAGTAAAATTGGGAGTTATTTCTAGTGAAATTGATGGGGTAAAAATTGAGTTCAATGTTGAAACCCTAGGTAAAATTTTTAAAAACTCCGATTGGAGGGTATGAGACCTACATTAAAGGGAAGGCTAGTGTGAAAGTTGGAAAGTATTTGAGTGGTGACATTGTTGAGCCCTAGGAGGAAAAAGAGGGAAGAACATAATGAGTCACAATGATTTAAGCCCATTGAACAAGCTGCTGTTCAATTTAGTCAAGAAAACAATTCTGCCTAGAACATCAAAGAAAGGTAAAGCATGTCTAATGGATATGACTGTAATTTTCTGTCTAACTAGGAAGATGAAGATCAATTTTCCTTCGCTCATGTTCCAACACTTAGCACACTGTGTTCCAAGTAAAACAAAGGTAGGATATGGAGCTATCCAGTCTACAGTTTTTGAGAATCTTGGAGTGGTTCTAAAAGGAAAATATTTAGGTTTGGATGAGAAACCAGAGAATGTGATAAATGAAGAAACTCTGCAGGGGCTTAGTTTGGAGGTGGTGAATGGGAAGATTCAGAAACTGAAGAAGGGTAGGGAAAAGAAAGAAAAAGGAACAGGAAAAAGAAAAAGAAAAGAAAAGAAAAGGAAGAGGCTGAGCAGCCTGTGAGAAAGAGTAGGAGGCTATCAACAAGCTCTGTCCCTTTAAACTAGCATGGAGAAACCACTAGTGTTGGATACTGATGAAAGGGAAATGGATGGGCAGGTTGCAAAGCTCACTGTGAAGTTGGTGTTAGCTGAAAAGGAATTAAAAGAATCTGCTGGGAAGATTCAGAAGCTAGAGAAGTCTGTGTAGAGGCAAGACAAACTCCTGAAGCACCAGAAGTTGGAGTTTCAGCAGCAGATCAAGAGTCTTGAGGAAAGACTGGACACTTTTGCTGATCAACAGAAAGAAGACAACAAACAAATTTTGGAGTTCCTAAAGAGTTGATTCAGCAATCCTATTTTACCAGCCCTATTATTAGCCTAGCTCTTTTTCACTTTGCAGTCATGAACATTTTCAGTTTAAGTTTTCTATGTTTTTGAACAATAATTTGGTTTGTATTAACTTTAAATAGCAGGATATTACAATTTTGGTTTTTAATGAATATTTGGAACTTTGCCTATATATGTGTGTACTTGTATGTTATGAAAGCTTATGCAGGCAAGTGGAATTTACTTAAAGGAAGTTAGCAGCGCTGCCTTTAGTTTCCCACACTCGATGAATTGCTTGTGGGGTTGTGGCTAGAAGCTTAATAGCTTGAAAAGGCAAGACTTTTTTATGATGCCAAAAAGGGGAAAAGAAAAGGCAAACTTGAAGGCTGGAGTTGTTCTAGGTTCCAGTTGAGAAAGTATCAGAACTTTCTTCTGATATAGATGCCAGTCGCTTAGTTCTGTTTTGTTTTTGTTTAGTTTCTGTGTTTCTTATTTGTGTGTTTTTGTTTATTTTTGTTTTACTGTTTGCGTGCTTAATTTTTGTGTATGTTTACTTTCTGCCCAAAATTTAAAAATAAAAAAATACGCCCTTCTATTTGTTCTAACTTTTTAAAAGAGTTTGCTTAAGTTTGTCATCATCAAAAAGGGGGAAATTGTTGAAGCTTATAGGTTTTGATGATGATGAACTTAAACTAAAGGAAACTCAACTAATAAAGGTTTATAAGTGTTTGACTAGTACATGTGAAGTTGACCTTGGAGGTGGAAAAGTATCTTGAACTATGAAGACATGAAGAGACTTTTAATGAAAAGTCAAACAATATAGAAGAAGAGTTCTCTAACAAGAACTAAGTTCCTTAACATGAAAGTTCTCTGACAGGAACTTGGAAGTTGCAAGCTGAAGACAGTAAGTTCTGGAAGGAACTTAGTCTGCAAAGTTCCAGTTGAAGACTGAAGAACTAGTGACAGCAGGCACTTGTTCCTAGTCTGCGTGAAGCCCAAGTAATTCAAAATTACAGAAACACGGCACATCGATAGTAATTTAGTTAAAATTTTATCTTCTAGATTTATTGTTAAATAGGTTAAGTAGATATGCACGAAATTTATTAGAAGCTTGATAAGATAATTGGCAAATTTAATCAAAATGGAAAAAGATAAAAGATAGATTTTAAGAAAAGATTTTCAAATTGATTTGTTTCTTAAAATGAGTTTTAACAAAAGATATTATTCTTTTTGCCATAACTTATTTTATCTTGTTTTCCGAAAAAGATTTTCTTTTAAGATTTACTTAAAACTTATTTTGTGATTTAGTTAATTTAACTTATTTATTTTTTGAAAAACCCTACTAGCTATACAAGTTAATCTTGTATAATAGTAGAGATCACATCCTCATAAGTTTCGGTGAGTTTTGCGTGAAGAAATCTTTGAGCTTAATTCGTGTAAGTTTGCCAAGCTTTAATCTTGTCATACTAGTTTCGGATTTCGTGCATTGCTTGCCTAACATATTCTAGGTATTATATTTTCTGTAATTGGTTGGGTTATAGGGTGTGAGTGTATGAAATTTATATTGCATACAGGTGATACAGTTTTGAGTGCAAAGGCTGTGATTGTACTGTGAGAGTACGAGTGAATTCAAGTTAGGGACTTGAATTGGGTAGGATAGAGTCCTTCTGTGTAGCAAGTTCTAATTAGAACTTGTGAGTAAAGGTTTGTCTTATAATAGGTTTGTAACTTGGTGTTTACCCTATAATAATAGATTGGTTTTTATGTGGAAATCCCTTAGAAGGGTCGAGGTTTTACTTCCAGTTGGGCCCTGGAAGGTTTCCTCGTAAAATCCTGTGTGCATTGCAAAGTTCCTTTTATAATCTGTTTTATAATTTGCAAAAGTAGTCACTACGAACTCACCTACAATTCATCCCCCCTCTTGTAGTGTTCGTTTCAACTAACAATAACTATATCAATACTATTGTAGAGTATATCAATTCTGTCTCTAGTTTTGGTGTTGCAAAGTACAGCTTTGATGCCATGCACACATATGGTATTTAGAAACCCCTCTTCGCCTATAAATCCTTCTTTCACTCATATTGAGGGATAGAAAATTTTGATAATATTTGGATAAGATATACTTATTTACTCTCACTTTCAGTCAAAATTAATCTTCATATTTACAGATTGCATACAAATATATGGTTGGTTGACTTATCAAGTAATCTCTCTCAAAGCTTAGTCCTTGTTTAGTTCACCGTATTTTTATTTATTTCAGAAAAAATAAGTTCAGTTCAGATCAGATTATCGTTTTATGTTCAGTATTTTTATTGCCAAATATGGTTAATTTCGTAATGAAAATCACATATTAATAAAATACACATTATTACGAATCTAACAAGACCCCACTTGACATATTTTTTTCTGCATAAATTATCATATATTTAAGGTCAAAGTTTGGTCAAATCAGAGCAGATTAGACCAGACTAAATTAGTTCAGATAAGCATATAGAAGGTGAACCAAAAAAGCCTTTAATCAAAGATCTACACTAATTTTTTTTTTTTTTTTGAAACAAACACCACACTTTAGTAGTTATCAAGGCATACAAATTCTTAAATAGATATGGTTCACATTAATTTATTGTGAACCACTATCTTTTAAGGACACTATGGTCTTCTATATTATTATTATTATTTTATTTTTTTTTAAAAGGTCACCTGTTAAAATAAAGGTTATTATATTAAAATAAAAGTCATTGTATTAATATAAAGATCCCAAGATATATATATATTTTTTATGTCTACAATTTATTTACTATGATACATTCATTTCATAAATTTGTTTAAAGTAAAATTAACTTAAGTGTATAGATTTTGCATGGAACAGTTCCTAAATTACTAGTACCTCCGTTACATATTATTTGCAACGATTTGACATAAAGTAGAGAGAAAAAATGTCTAACTGTTGCAAATAATATATAACGGTTGTAGTATACCCTCTTTTACATATTGTTTATCCTACTGATCAATTTTGTTTTGTAAAGATTTCAAGTGGGAAGAAAAAGAATGGAATGGAGGGAGTGCCATATACTACCACATGCAAAAACATTTTTTTTTCCTTGACGAGATACTAAGAAGTCAAATTAAAAACATGTAATCATAATGTCTTTTGTTGATCAGTTTAATTACTACCTCCACTTTTTATTATTTGCAATTTTAAAGGGATATTCCAAAATTTTGTTTGTAAAAGTTAAATGCAAACAGAAAGACAAAGATGCATGTTATAAGGAGAGAAATAGAGAAAAATGACACTTTATAAAGAAAACATTTGTGGTAAATAATATGAAACATTCTTTTTTTGACAAATGATGCAAATAATATGAAACAAAGGTAGTAGTAGTAGTTGAATTGACAAATGTTAAACAAACGTAACGTCTGTCTACATTAGTATACTTTTGAGGTCACTAATTCAAGACCTACACTACTGACACCTTACCAATTGCCAATATGAAATAGTCTAAGAAACTGCCAACGTAATTTGGCAATTGCACTTAGCCTAATGCTTCTTCTGTACATTTTTCTCAACAGTGATTAGAATCACAAGAAATTACTTATTGTTACATGCAATTATGCAAACTCAAGTCACAAGGCTTCCTGTTCGTTCCCAGAGTCTCAACAAATCCTTTCGATGATGAAAGCTACCCAAGCTCACAAGTATATACCAGCGTCTACAACAAAGTGTAATTAAGAGAACTTAAGAGAGCGATCATTATGTTAAGATTTACTTCCAGTAAAGAAATGGTTAAAATTACCATATTATAGTTTCGCAAAGGCCTCTTCAGAAAGTCTACGGGCTGATAATGTTGACAACTCAACAATTGTGTTGCATCATCATGATTTACTATAGGTAACAATATTCGTAAATGTTAAGACAGCAGATGCAATTTCTGCATGGAAAATGGAAGGTGAAGCAAAGGAATAACAGAAAAAAAAAAAAAAAAAAAAAAAAAAAAAAAAAAAAAAAAAAAAAAAAAAAGAGGACTAAATTAGAATAACAGAACAAATAAATGAGAATTAACATCATAGTAACTCCTGACTTCCTGAGTTTCCACTTTCCACCATCTATACCAAAAAAGTTAAAGAATGGGGCAGCTAGATGAGTTGCTATTAGATATCTAGCATGTTAAACAATAAAAAAAAGGGATTAACTACGAGCTTAATCTTTATTCTTCAAGTACTTGTATGTCAAAATAGCATTTGATTAAAGCTTGGACTTTCAAAGATATCACAAATTAATTTATCAGAACAGCCATATAATCATACACGATTAACACAAAGCAGGATAAGAAAATATTTAGGTTGGCCAAGATGTATATTAAAAGTCGTAAGCATGATGACAAAATCAATTTCTCAGTGAGCACCACTATAAACATTTTTTTGACTAAATTAACTTCACCACTATAAATTAATATAGGACAAGTGTCTTCGGTAATCGTTAGGTTACATAGTTGAGTGACGGGGAAAGCAAAATAAACAAGATGAAATCAAGATTAGCCAACTTGTTACTAAGATATAATCACCTAGACTTCTAATGCTAATGTATTGCAGGCAATTACTTGATGATCCACATGTGAGTCAGAAACATGTTTCTCCAAGAGAGAAAATCTCACTTCCATTTGACATGCTCAAATCATTGCTTGAAAATAAAGAGCTAAGTTGAGTTCATAAGCACCTAATTACAAGCATATTGGATTCTTACTCGCCTTCATGTCTTTTGAAACACTTATTCTTCATCAGCAGCACCAGCCAACTCCTCTAATTCATCCACATCATCAATAGGAATATCTTCATCATCAATAGAATAAGCGCCTATATAAAAACAACAAAACTGCAATTAGAAGGGGGGAAAAAAATCTGCAAATAACTGCAATAGGAAGCACAAAACTACCCGTCAAAAAAAAAAAAAAAAGCACAAAACTAATTGTCCTCCAGCAAAAATCAACTATACAAGAGGTGTGCCAAACTGACAATCACATTGGAATTAAAAAAAAACCTGTAAAATCAGGTGACCTAAGGGCTAAGAATCACAATTCCGTCCCAAAGGACCAAAGGTATAGGCCCAAAAAAAAAAAAAAAAAAAAAAAAAAGGTGATATAACCCATTCACCTTCGATCACAAGACCGACGACCATACAAGCCAAGCGTCCCATATGGAAGCTAATATTTCAAAACTACATCATAGAAAGGTAATATCCACAATGCAAACTAATAAAGTACTTATGATTACCAAATCTCCACAATATCAAGACAAAAAATGAAAAAAGACATCAAGTATAATTATGTATTTTCTCCAAAAATGCAAATTATCAATGCAAATTAGCAAGAAGGATGTGCCTTCTTTAGATAATTGATCTCCAAATGAGATTTGCAGGAGTGATTAAAGCTTATGGCTGCAAATCTCATAAGGATTAATCCCATGCATAAGTTGGAGGGAGTTAAATAATTAATTGATTTGGTTCATGTAGCCGACCACACTTATGGGATTAAGGCTTTGATTGATTGATTGAAATGGACATTAAATACTTTATAGATTTAAGTGATGTGAAAAAATCAAGCAACCATACAAGAAAGGATTGAATAACCATCTGTGAAAGGGAACTTCCAAAGTCCAAATCCAACCCTTAAATGATTTAGAGTTAAAGCTTAAGGCATTCATAGGTCTGAGGACTAGATTCGAACTCACATCCTTGTTACTCCACAACCATTACCTTAAACAAAAGTCTCTCAGGTCTCAGCTTCTATGATGCCAAGGAGTCATGGTACATCGTAAAAGAAACCAAATCTCAAATTCACAGAGACACGGAATTTTTTTTTTTATGATTATTCACTTTCTACAATTACTGTTTAATTTTGTTCGGTAGAGTTGAACAGAAGAATAAGGAAACAGAAGAAAAATCTACATGGATTGAGTTCATTTTGGACTTGCCACCAGCTGCCGTGTTGATTTCCATATTGCCAGGTATGGTTGTATTATGTGTCTGCACCCCAGACAGGAAATGTTGAGGCAAAATGATCAGTCGGAGCATCACTGCTCAAATTTATTAGACATTTGAAATTGAAAACAATCCTTTGTTTTATTTAAATTTTTTAGTTGCACCCATTTGACTTTTACAATATTCACACATTCTACTTACAGACACTATTGTTGTTGATTTATACATAAGAAAAAAAAAAGTCATATGGGAGCTTGTTAGATGCAGCTCTCCACATACTTTCAAGATATTGTGATTTTTTATGTTTTCAATTGTTGATATTAAAATATATTAATGATTGAAAACTATGCATTGATAAGAGTTAAAATAAAAGGAGCACAACTAATAAAACTAGATAAATGACATAGCCTTCCAAAGTAGATGCCATTTTCCACCCACAACTTCTATAGTTCAAACTATCTCAGGGAGTAGGGAACCTCAAAATTCAAAATCATCAATATTGCAAGGGAGTTTTCTAAGCCATTCTTTTTAAGAAATGTGTTGCCTTTGCTAGTTTTAATGATAACAAACCATCTTCCCTTGCTAGTTAATACGGAGAAAACATTTGTTAAGTATGCAAGTTTTTAGGAACAAGTTCAGAGTAGAGAAGGTCCTATTGGCTAAAAACACTTTGCAGAGTACTAAGTGCAGCAAATATCGAAGTTCTAATGTGATATTCCTATAGAAGCCTATATACAAGTTCCTATAAGATAGGGCATAAAGTTCCAGATTTGGAATGGATATTAAAGCTACAGAGTTGAAGCTTCTTGAAAGTATTCATGGAGACTAAAGAGAATGAATTTACTTTTAGGCTTTATGCAAGTGTTTTAGGGGTTTATAAGTTTATTGGAACAAAAGGAACGTAATAAGTGCTATATTTGGAACAAGTTGTTTTATCTCATTCATGACTGCACGCAATGAGAAAATAAGGCAAAAGTAAGGATTAACCAAAAGAAAGATACAAGCCTAATATGGCCAAATTTGATTATCATAAGGCAATGATAGAAGTTAGGGGTGATTGATGATGAGGGGAACATAATGAGGAAGTTACAAACATGGGTCTCATGGCAAATATTGATAGATCTTAGCAACTTCATCAAATGAGGTAAGTCACAAAACTCTTCGTGCCTTGTCTATAAATAAATTAATTGCATTGTTATTAGAAAAATTGGATGATATAGAAATCTTATGGGCATTTGGTTTGCATAGGGTAAGGGGAATGACATTAAGAAAGAGAAATAGGGAAAAGGAATGAGTATCACCCTAGTTTCATATGTTCTTCGTTTGTACATAAGAGTAAAAACAAAAATAAAAAATAAAAAATAGATAAATAAATAAAAAAAAAATGTCGTTGTATTGCCTCCATGGCTCCACCCCATCTTTGCCTCCATTCCACCAACACCTCCAAAAATTCAAAAAAGGGTAACAAGAAAATAGAGTGAGAGGGAGATATCGGGGATGATGTTGATGAAAAATTAGAGGACAATGTATTGGAGGTCAACGGGTGGGTGCCGGTTGTTGATTATAATTGGTAACTGCTGTAGTGGGAGAGATAGTTTGATAGTGGTTGTGGGGAAAGGTAGTAAAAAAAACCTAGGGGATTGTGGGAATCAACTTAGAGAACTTAGGGCCAAAGTGGAAAAGAATATAGGGTAAAGGGAATGGCAATTTAAACCTAACAAACAACATCAAAGGGAATTAATCCTACCCTTTGATGAACACCCTGTAGCAAACGCCCCCTTAGGAACAAAGTGACAAAGCTTTTGAGCTTAACAAAGACCAAGTTACTAATTAGAACAATACACGTGTTTTGAGATGTTAGAAATGATTAGATATGCTCAAAGATTCTTTAAAACATGTTAAAAATGAAAATGTCACGCTTAATTGAGACTAATATGAGAAATTTTTAATTATGTAGAAATTGAATAATGATATTATTATTGTAAGGAACAAAAGAAAAAGTTAGAAATGGAACTCGTTTTAGCCAATACAAGCAAACAAGTGATACCTAGAGCTAATCCTAAGTGGATTCACAATGCACAAAAGCTAAAAGACCAAGGTTTAGTTTCTTTCCATTAATAAAAAGTAGTCCCAAAAAGATCAAATATGTGGATTTACCTAGTAGCAAGGTTTATTCTTTTTATGGTAATATTGAATGAAGCTAGCTCCAAAAAGAACAAGCAAATACAACAAACGTAAATACAATTAAATAAATGTACGTTAGAAAAGCTAGTGAAGATAAAAAAATTAAAAAAAATAAAAAAAAACCTAAAAGAAACACAAATTTCTTACAGGTTGTTACAAGAGGGAAGTCAAGGAACAACACTTGGTACTCTATAGTGGTTGTTCCAAAATCTAGATTGTTTCCACTAAACATTGCTTTTGGAGATATAAAGAAAGGCGAGATCATCGCAATTACGTAAATATAAACCAGGAAGGAAGAGCAAAGGTAGGTAGTTTTTGGAAATAAGGGAATCGTAAAGGTTGGAAATCAAAAGTACCAATTTGGAGTTTTCAATCTAAATTCTCTTTAAGTTCAATGTAATGTAACTCTATGAATGTAACTCTATGAATGTAATGTAAATGAAATTTATTAACAATCATTAAACATTTTCAATCTAAATTCTCTGGAGTTTTCTCGGTGTCATTATTTGTCAAGTTAATAAGCATCGTACAAGAAACCAGGTTAAGCTCACTCCTAAAAACCCTTCCACAAGACCACAACAATAAAATGCAATTCTTGATAAAATTTAAGTTCAATGTTCAATCATACAATCTTGCAACTCATAAAAATGTTCACAATTTCACATATAACCAAATCACAATTAAATATTTAAACATACTTTCAATAATTCACTTCATCAAAACTAATCACTTCAACACCACCAAAATATCATGCACATAGGAGAAATATATTTTAACTCATATGTCCTTTTCTTTCCTTTCTTATGACATCCTAATAAAAGCAATAAAACATAGAGCACTTACCTAAATATACCAAACAATTATTTGTTATTCAGTTAATAATTCAAAATTAATTACTTCCTCTGTTCTTTTTTACTTGACCTGTTTCTTTTATCACGCTTGTGAATGCAAAACTTCAACGATCAATAACTTAAGTTCTACATCAGTAAAAATTATATATTATGATACTACTTATTGAGACGAATCCAAAAAGATCATACATGAATATATTTTTCCTTACATATTATTCACAAAAGACGGTCAATGAAAGGGTAGTGAATAGTGTAAAAGTCAAAGCGGGTCAAGTAATAAAGAATGGAGAAAGTATAATTTAACATTTAACCACAAATATATACTTCCTCCGTTTCTATTTAGTTGACGTGTTTGATTTAGGCACATATATTAAGGAGAGGAGAGAGAGTGAGAGAGAATGAAAAAGCAAGTGGGGTAGCTTGTAAATGCAAGGTAAAAAAATTTACCCTAAAAGGAAACGTGTCAACTAAAAAAAAAACCCTAAAAAGAAATACGTGTCAACTAAAAAGCAACGGAGGTAGTATTTAAAATCACCAAAAACCAAATGCAAATAAAAAAGGAAAATTTGATTTAAATAATCCAACCTTTAACGTATTTATTTTTAATAATCCAACCTTTTGATTATTCCACAATAATCCAAGCTTTGAGGGGTATCTTATATTATTAGGCCAAGGTGACCTGCAACCTGTTTCTCAGGTAATTTTTTTTTTTTCATTTTAAATTTTTTTGGCAAAAAAAAAAAAAGGTAAAACCAGCAGCACCAGCACCCACCTCTCTGCCGCCCTTCCCACTCTCTTTTCCAGTTTCCGATCACCGCCACCTCTACCCCCCTGCCGACCCTCCCCTCACCCCAGCACAGCTGGTGCCCCTCGAAATCCACCCCAATACCCACTCCCTTGGCCAGTTACCGACTTCCCTCAAAACCACCCCAATTCCCTAAAACCCAAAACCTAAAACACCGAAAATCTAGAAATCGAAAAAGGGTTATGTTATTCTAGGGGGCGAGCTGAGAAATCGGTGTCGATTGGGGGTAGGCGGTGGCCAGAAATTGAGAATGAAGAGAGAGAAATTGCGGATGATAAAGGGAGGTTGGCGGTGCGTGGACAGTCGTGGGTGGAGGGGATCGAAATTAATAGAGAGTGAAGGGAAAGATAGATGAAGGAGTGAGGAAGGAAAGAGAAAGGAAGGAAAGAGGAAGGAATGAGCTGCCGGGAATTATGGAGGAGAAGGAAGGAGGTGGGGTGTTCGGCAATTGGAGGGACCGACTGTGGGTGGTCGGATTTTGAAGGGGAGGGATGGTGTCGTGCGTGGTGGTGGTCGGATTTTGGAGGGAAAGGAGTGGTGGTGAATGGTGATCGGATTTTGGAGGGGTGGGAGTGGTGGTGGTCGATTTTTGGAGGGGTTGCGGTGGTGGTGGTGCTGTCATGGAGGTTTGAAGGGAAGGAGGAGGAAAAAAAAAGGGATTTTTTTTTTAATTTAATTTTTTTTAAAAAAATAAATAAAAATATTTATTGGACAAATGACAATCCGACACGTGGAAGACGACTTGCAATATTATGTTAAGTGACCTGCTAGGCCTGATAATCTAAGACACCCCCCAAAGCTTGGATTATTATAGAATAATTAAAAGGTTGGATTATTAAAAATAAATACGTCAAAGGTTGGATTATTTAAATCAAATTTTCCAATAAAAAAATAGTCCAAACAAAGGAAATCATCATAAATAGCTTGGAAAAAGATACATAAATCAAATAAACCTCATCACTCTTCCTTAACTTGATGCAAAACGTGTAAAGAATCTCCACATAACGTTAATTATGAGGATGCTTGGAGATGAGTGATGAGAACTATTTAAATTTAAATATTATTTATGTTGATTTTGTGTTTAGGTTACGGTTTCAATGCATGTTTGGTTTTAAGATATTTAGAATGTTGGTTTGGTTTGATTAGGGCCATGGGCTCCAACTTGTAATATAATTATTTAAATTAGTTTTGGATTTTAATTTGGTTTTTGAAAGTTAGTTTAAGCTGCGTTAACTTTTGTAAAATCTTTAACGTTATCATGGGGGAAGTAAAATTCTAGTAATTCTCCAAAATATTTTTTAAGGAAATTGTTTATAAAGTACTCCCTCCATTTCATACTAAATGACACACTTAGGGGGTGTTTGGTTCATCAAATTGGAATGGTTTGGTAAGGAATCTTATATTAAAGAGGTATGAATTCTAAAACTCATACTTGTCCAAAGCTGTTTAGTTTTATTGAAGGAATGCATTCTATACTTCATTAAAAGAATGGATTGTGAATCTTAGGGAAGATGTGAGTATGAGATTCCAGGATATGAGAGAGAGTTAGAACCCCTTGGATATGAGATTCCATCATTATAAAACTCAACCAAACAAAAAACTACATAGAATGGATTCTAACTCCATTCTAGCTCATTCTAAATGATCCAACCAAACGACCCCTTAAATTTTTTCACTATTCATACGCATATTCCTTTATGGAAAGTTTCTTTTTAGTTGACACATTTCTACTTTAAGAAATTTTTATACATTATATTAACCCATACTAATTTCTCTAAACTCATCTCTAGCTCCTCCCTTCACTCTTCTCTCCCTTATCTTTACCATAAGAGACCCAGTAAATACTCACTCCTCCATTATCATCTTCCCCACTCCACCTCCACCATCACAAAAACCACCATCACTTCATTTCTCTCCTCTCTTCCTATAAGACACCCAATTTCAAAACACAAACCCAACTACCAAGCTCTCAAAGTCTCACCTTTGGTTGTTAAATCCGTCGATACCAAAGAGCTTCTCCATTGTTGCGGTACACAAATCTGAGAACGGGGGAAAATTGGAAGGAAATGAGGTGATTAACCTGAGATTTTAAGCTAACTCTCCTTTCTCTTCATTGAGCGAAATAGGCCACGGATTCCACCAGATTCAAACCCGGGGAAATTAAGACTACTAAAATCCAAAATATTTGAAGCCAGGTGGTTTTAGGTAGATCCATTGGTGTCCACTTAGATGGTAGGTGCCTAAGAAGTTAACGGAGGTGGAGGAGGTTGCGGTGTAGCACTGGGCTCAACTCGTCGAGCAACATGTAGGTGGGTTGGGTAAAGGGTAAGGATAGGTAAGGGGATTTTTTTCATTTGCTTTCCTTTCTTACTTTTCCTTACTTTTTGTGCAAAAATGAAACATGTCAATTAATTTGGAATAGTAGAAATATCAACTTTGACCACGGATTTTTTACGAATTATAATAAAAAAAAATGATACCATTTAAATGTTGTTAAATAGATACTTTCCTTGTTTCTAATAGTTGGCGTGTTTAATTTAGGCACACATATTTAGGAGAGGAGAGAGAATAATAAAGCAAGTGGGATACACTAGTAAATGTAAGGTATAAAACTTACCCAAAAAGAAAATGTGTCATCTAAAAATAAGCTTCCTAAAAAGAAATACGTATCAAGTATGATTTATTTAGGATAAAACAATCTCATTTATGATCAAACAGGGGTAGTAAGGGAATTATCACTGTTACGACCATGACTTGGCTCGCTCGCTACGCGATCATATTTCTTTATATACAAGGAGGCATTACTTAGATAACTTTTATTTAGTAGTAAGCTTGAGAGACACATCTATGATTTATCCAAAATAAAAGAAATCAGATTAAACGAATCAAGAGAGAAAACATGCCACTTTCAATAATTTTCTTTACTCTCTCTTTAATTCTTCTTAATTAAGTTTAATTCACAAAATATCATGCTTAAACTTCAATTCAATTTCAAATTTTGATCTTCCCAGTTCCATTCCATGCTTTTTACAACGCATATGGAGTAGATTCTACCGTTACTTGAAATTGCTTGTGATGTTAAGCTTTGAATTTGGAATTAAATTGATTAATGTCGGATTATATGTGATATTCAATAGAGTAGCTAGCCAATATTGCATTATTTGTGAAGTGTTTTAAGCTTTGTAAGGCATGGACATGTGTGAGTTGAGTGAAATTATTTGCATACTAATTAGGATTATGTAGCACTCCATCTTTCCCTAAAGATTGTAATCTATATACAATATTTACAAGTAAAGAGAATCTTTTAATTTCTTTGCAATATATAAGAAAAAAAAAATCATGTGGGATAGGGTCTTATTTGATTCTTCTCAATAGACATTTTTAAAATATCAAACTTTTAGGGATATTAATAATTAATAATGTGCATTGGCAAACATGTCGAAATGGAATAGGAAAAGGGGAAGGATAGAGTAGAGATTAAGCTTTAGTCGATAGTATTAACTATTAGACTTGTTTTGCAATTGGTTATTGGTTGTTAGCTCACTGACTATTAGCATGGGCTGTTTGACTATTGGTTGTAACAATGCAAAATGATCTTGAAAGACAATATTATGTGTATTTATTCATCTATTACGAATATTTTTAATCCATCTATTACGAGTATTTTTAATTCATTTATTACGAGTATTTTTAACTAAATATAAAATACTAATCAGCAACGCATACTTATTTATTAATTATTTATCAATCAAGTAATATAAATTAAAATTATTAATGATTATTTATAAAACAATTATTGCTGTAAATTTATTATTTTATAATGATCAATAGGGAGTATTAAACATAAACAATTATTATATAATTATTAATAAATAATTAAAATTTAGTAATGAAATATCAATTATTCAATTAATTAGTTTATTTCTTATATTTTTATTAATCCGTACTAATTAATAATTATTAGTTATTAATAACTAATTGTTCACTAATTAACTAATTATTAATTGTTAATTACTAATTGTTAATCGCTAATTCTTAAGTGTTAACTATTAATTGTTAATTGTTAGTGAACAGTAAGGACATAAAAGTAATTTTAAAGATGAAAAGCCCAAAAGCCAACTCGAAAAACTTTTGCCTTTTGGCAGAAAAGCTGGCTTTTAAAAAGCCAATTACCTTTTTTTTTTTTTTTTTGTTTCACCAAACATATAAGCCAAAAGCCATGTAAAAAAGTCAAGTCTCTACTACGTTTAGTCTTTGCACGATCATGTATTCATCTACATGAGACTAATCTATAAAAATCTGATCCTAATCCCTCAATCACTAAGTTGTCGTAATACTAAGGTATTTAGTGATTAGGAGTATAAATTTGACTTGATTGAGATTTTGTTTGTTTCCAACAATGACCTTGCAAAACCTTGTAAGATAGATAGAAGATTACAAAAGAAGATGTTCGATTATGAAATTTAAAAGCCAGGGTTATATTTATTTTGATGAACTTATAGTGTAAGATTAGTCCTTGCATCCAAAAAATTCAGCCACGATGAATCATATACATAGAGTCATAAACCATAATCGTACAACCTTACCCAAGAAGACAACATAGTTTATCAAAAGAACCTTGTGACTTTTAGATTTTGTCATTCTTTTCTTTCATTCTTATATCTCATATATTAAAGTTTACATGTAAAATGTCAAATGATATTGTAGAAAAATCTGAATTTAAATAATATCAAACCAAGAACTCAAATATAATAGGAATTATGTGCTGTGGTATGTATAGTCACATGAGAGTCACCTTTGGATATTGAAGGAGAGTAACTACTCATCTCACGGGAAGCAATAGAGTTGTCAAGAAGATATGGTAGCTCAAGTAACTTCAAGAGTGCCTCTGTCTGAGGATTTCGATAATGTTCTGTAATCAAAATTTCAATGACCATCAAAGACCAACTTACAGCATTTAACCCCCGTCTTGAGTAATAAAGCATAAAAGAACGAGTAGCTATTGTTCAAGTATGGGGAGAAAAAGGGCACAAACATTTCATATGAACAAAAGAGCACTGAAATAGTCAGAAGAACAATATAGAATATGATCCCTTAACCATCATGATACACATAAAATAAGAGTTAAAAAAGAAATAAGATTTGCAGAGCTTCTAACAAACACCAATTATTGCCATATTCATGGATTTACCACAAAAGCCCACAATGAGGAGCTATTTGATTATTTGAGCATCTAGAATATTCATACAAAAAACATTAACATCATGTGTATGATGCAACTAATGACAGAATCAACTTTCAACAAGAGAAGCAGGATGTATTTCTAGCATATGAAAATTGCTTGTTGTAGACTCTTTAAATTGGAAAATATCCTGAAAACCAAAATTGCTAAGCTCTATACACAATAAATTATATGTTTACCTGCTGAGGAACCGTTAAATACAGATTGAGAGGGATCATGGCATGGAGCTGTTCGTGTAAACTCAAAGGGTTTAACCCCTCTTGTGTTTGAGTTTAGCTTACTCCTGACCCACTGACGTGAACCTTCTGTGTCAACTTGCACACTCCTTTTTCAGGAAAAAACAAAAAACAAAAAATATACGTTAGTCAAGGGTTAATCAAAGAGAAACAAGAACATCAACAAATAGAATAAGTAACACACTGGAAATCAGCAGGCCTTGCTGTGATGGGGAAGGCTTCATTGAATGTCCTGGTAATTGCAAGCCACTCTTCATCATAACATATTTCGAGCGGTCCAGGGTCTGATTCAATTTCAATAATCTGACGCAAAACTTAAATTAGCATCAGCAATTCCAGGCAGTTGATAAATTGGACGACAAGTGGGATGACATTTTCATACCTGTAAAAATTTGCGATTAGGCAAGCACTTGTCAAGTGCAAGAAATTTTGTCATAGAACCCCCTTCACCATGCTGGACAAGGGCAGAAAATTTGCAGTGCAGGTGAGCCGAAAACCAATAAGAAGGTTTTAACTTCTCCAGCAGCTTAGCTGCAGGCTTACTACCAAGAGTTCGCTCCTGAATCTGACATGTTGATTGCTTACAAAGCTAAGTCACAGTGAATATATTGCCATTAACAATGGCCCAATTACTTGCAAGCATTGCTGATAGAAACATATAACATCAAAGATTTCAGCCATCATGCAACTAAATTTAAGGATCAAACTTCTAATTTGTATTATTGTACTCATAATGCAATGAGATTTCAACTTAATCAGATATTTAATTCAATAGGTTGTTATAACAGTGAGTTTCATAACCTTGCAGGGGAAAATTTTCAGCTTAAAGTTGTATTAAAATTGAATTTAAATTCTGACAAGCATATAAGCTAGACTCCTACAATGCACTAATTCAAAAGTAAAAGACGTTGGTGGACAGGTGTTCAACTCCTATGAGTCATGAGAGAGATAAACCCCTATATGTTCTTTAGGAGTTTAGGCACTAAATAAAAGCAGAATACAATGTTCCATTCTCGAACAAAATATTTTCAGTAACATAGTCAAGATTACCTCTTTTTCAAAAAAAGGCTTCTTCCGGACAAGTTCCCTCCAATTTCCACAATCAGTAATACCAACTGGCCAATCATGTGAAAGAAATATATCAATTGGCTCCTGAACTTGCATAAGCTTGTGAACATCATATTCACGAACATGGTAGATAGATCGGATATCACTCTCATTGTATGGAGGTCTTTCAAAATGCCCTGGTCATAAATAATGCGTACATATGATTTTTAAAAAATAATAAATAAAAACACCAGGTATGACTGTTATAAAATGCAGAGAGGTTTAGATAGTGAATTTGTCATACCAATATTTAACTATGAACGTGTTTGTAATAAGAAGAATTAGAAAGTCATTATATAAATACCACTCAAACTAATGTATGCCAATGGACCAACCTAATTTATAATGGCGGAAATTATATATTCCTGACAATCCACCAATTCGAATGTTGCCAAACTTGATAACTCCAGCAAAACCCAAGAAGAATATGTTAGGTGCAGCCCATCCACCGTAGTACCTAAAACACAATACACATCACTCTTCTAAATTGCAGAGTATATATAGCAGGATAGCATATGAAATATCATATATTAAACTGACTACCCATGTTGGTTGGTAATACAACTAACATATTTTCCCCTATTCAGTAAATTTCACTAACTATATCAGCAATATGATACTTAAAGACCTAACATGTGACTAGACATTAGAAATAGCTCTAGCAAGAGGTGCACGATTATGTATAAAAAATATCCTATATATAAAGTACCTTAGACAAGTTTAATATTTGACTACACATCGGAAATTATGATCATCATAAATTAGATTGACCATCCCAAGAATGTGCTCAAATTAGCTGAGCTCAAAGAAGATATGGAATCCGCGAGAAAAGAGGACTCCAACCTAGAAGACATTCTAAAGGAGGCTAAATGACAACATACAACAGGGGAAAAAAAATCAGGTAGAAACATTCCCAAACAAAGTAATAACACAGAAATCCCTTACAAAAAATACCATTCATACAAACTATCCAACTTAGAAGAGAACTGCTACTGTTTATCTCCTTTATCTCATGTTATCCTCAATCAAACACAAAGGTAAGAACCAAGTTAAGCGAAGAATAAGGCATAACCCTTCTTTCCAGACACTGATGATCCCACACCCCCACCTCAACTAAGAAATAGAATAATTCATTTTGTAGAAAAATATAACATTACAATTCACCATCGATTAATCATTAGAAAAACTAAAAAGACTATACAAGATCAAAATCAAGGGCACCAAACCCACACTAATGTTTCCTCCATTGCATAAATTAATGCACCACTTTGACTAGCATGCTTCCCAACACAACTTTTACCATAGATGCCTTTAGTTATCTACAAGTAAAATATACTCCTTCCATTACCAAAAGCTCAACTCACTTTCCAATTTAGGGTGTTTCAAAAAGTTTACTCACTTATACTTTAATCCAATTTTGGCAAACCATTATCAATATTTTAGCCCTCATACCCCACACTATCTACACAATTCCACTCACACTCTCTTACTCATCTTATTGTTCTTAAATCCACCCATCTTTTGCTTAATCTCTTCAACTTTGTCCACCTCACTTTTTCCAAACTTTCCAAGATTCACAAACCTACAAAAAGTTAGTCGAACTTAGGGAATGGATGCGGTATAAAAGGTTGATATCATGAATTTGTACAATGGAACTAATTCAACAACATTCTAATCAATACCATTTGTTTTTAATAAATTAGTAATAACATGTGATCAATATTAGTGTATGAAACTATGTGCAAAACTAAAAGTGTAGCAACTATTTTGAAACAGAAGATATAAAAAAAAAAATGCAAGTAAATACATGCATATTCCACGATCCACACTGTAAAAAAACATGCACAATCCACATCCAAGCTTGTTGGGGATAAGTGCTGGATCATGAAATTACTTACAGTTCCCAGAGGTAATTGGAAGCTTCATGATTTCCACCAATAAAAATAGTAGGCACAGGAGCTACTTCTTCTCCAGAGTAGTATTTCCAGAAAGTGTTCATTTGCCTATATTTAGGTTTAACATTTAAACTTTCAAGATCCTTTTTGTTTCTAACAGCCTGTCATAGAGATAAGATCAAGCCAATTATCAGTCTAACATGAATTTTAAAGATTTTCACACAAACAGGCAGCACTATACATATTCTACAGTTTATTTACAACGAGAACACATTCGTCACAAAACTACAATGACTTGAAACTGCCAAATTTACTAGACACTTAAAGCAAATGCTTCTAATGCAAATAAAATGTAATCTAATGTAAAACAGGTCTGCACAAACCTTAACATATTAAATACATTTTTTACGACATCCAAATTGCCACCAAATGTAGCCACAAAAGGTTTCAATATTCGTGATATTTGTGTGTGCAAGAGCTGAATAAGTGATCCTCCAATGTGAGAAAAAAATCTGCATCTTACAAGATAAACCCTAAGGCACTTTCAAAAATCGATTTAACCAGCTCACAGTCACCACTTTACCATTACAAAATTTATTACTTATCATATATCAACATTTTGTGTCCCTAATTGCTCGAAACATATATCGACACCAATTTCATAATTGAAATAGCACGGGCATTAAAGAGAAATTTGATGTAATGATCCAACATCATTCACTCATAAATTCTATACATCAGAAATCAACACTTAATCCCACAATAATATCAGTCATTCTACCAATGTACTTCTTTATAGAATCAAATAACATATTCAAGTAAATTCAGCAACTATGAACACAAAATGATATTAAGAACAACTACTACTGAATCAACATAACCCTAAAAGTTCACAAATCACGAAATTAATCAGAAACAATACTAAAATTAAACTGATGATGAGGAAAAATTGTAGAAATTATTAGAGAGAAAAAAGAAAACCTGAAAGTCGCCGCAGCAAATGAGAAGGTCAATTTTGGTGTTTTCTTCTCTCTGTAAATCGGCAATGGTTTTGTAGACGTTGTCGAGGTCACCATGCATGCATCCTTCCACTGCTATCTTCATCCTTCTTAGTCTGTCTAAAGAAGCTTAGGGTTTCTTTCTGAACTCAACAATTGCGTCTGTCAATTTGTATATTTTGGTGTTTTTGACGTATCACGTAAAATTAAACAAAATGCGACAAGCGATTTGACTGTATTAGCTTAATCAGAGTTTTTTTTGAAATAAATTAGCTTAATCAGAGTATTAGTTTACAACCTTGATTTTTTATAAACAAAAAATCGGCCTTCAGTATCCATTAACTTTGAATGGGCTTTTTGACTGGTAACTTGCTACTAAAAGAGCTATCAGGTTGCAGCCAAACAAACCACTGAACGAACCACCGGTAGGCCACCAAACCCTGTTGTCTATCCCTACCACTATTTTAAGTGTCACTATCACCAAAATGAAACCACTACTCTCTCCATGATTTTTAAATGTTACACTTACAAAATCCGGCTGTGTTTAAATAAGTGTTGCTTTTTTTTTTGGCAAAAAGCTACATTAAAATATTATCTCTCTTCTCATGGTCCCCACCCAAACCCACTACTACTTATTATTATTATTATTATTATTATTATTATTATTATTATTATTATTATTATTATCTTCTCTCACATTCATTACATTTCAAGTACCTCAATTATGAATCCTACCCGATCATCATTGGGGAAATTGATTAACCGGGTCACAAAAATGACAACGAAATCGGACAAATCAAACACTTTGAGGCCTGAACAAGATTAATTTCCCAAAAGTAATACTTCGATCCTATTATACACACCGGGTATCACGAAATTAATAGCAAATATAGCGAAGACAATCACAACAGTGTGTAGTATATTTGTGAACTAATGTAACCAAACTTTGATAATTTATGATGAAGATGGTTGGTTTGCAAAAAAATGGTTTCAAGAAAATGAATAAACTGACTTTTTCTAGATCATCCATCTATTTGTCATATGTTTAGTAACATATATATATAAGCAAACAAAACAAGTCAACCATCACGATGAAAACTGCGCCCAGCCGGGTTGCAGACTGCCCGACCAGGCGGATCTAGGTGATGAACCTGGACATTCTCGCGCCCGATCGGGCGGTGGTGGCCTTACTGGGCGGCGAAAACCAATTCCAGAACACAAGGCTTGCGCTCGACAGGGAAACGAAACCCCGTAATCGGGCAGCAACACCTCGTCAATCTTCTTCGTTCTCATGCCTTTCAAGGCAGCGGCAGACCAGCGGTAGAAGACAAGGTAGCTTTGCTTCCCCTGCTTTTCCTTGCTTATCCCTCTAAACCGAGGTTCTTCACTCTAAACCGAGTTTTTGCTTCTAACCTTTGCTATTCTTAATTAAACACCTTCACCTTTATTAATTAAGCAAAGCAAACATGAATATAGTCTACATACTCTAAATAACTCAACCATCCTCCCCTATTTAGAGTATAAATTAATTAGACTCATTGGAAAAACATCATCATCATAAAAAATCAATCTTATGCATAAATGAAAGTGTACAAAGACTTGAACTTCCACTTAGTGCAATACACATTCCAAGAATCCATTTTCATTTGGTGTCGTAAAACAATTGAACCAAAAGCAATATTAGATTCATGAAGATATTACACACACAAGATCAATTACATGATTACATTAATACTTGACACGTAAAGCCATGTGTCCCTATCTTTTCGTAAGTACTTCAAATCTATGCCCTAATAACTTCTTGAAATGACTAAACTTCGTACTTATATAGGTAGACTTCCAAAACATGCTCCTGTGACTGAGTACTATATCGGGAAATCTATTAAAAAAATATCAAATAATATTTATAAATTCCCAACTAACCACTAAGCAAGCATAGAGGCTAGTCCAGAGTTGAACCACGAGGACTAAGTGTATCAATTTGGGAATATTAAACTAGTAGGAAGGATTGTGAGATACAGAGAGAAACAACTAGAACACTACTTAAAGCAATTAACAAAATACTAGGGAAAGAGGAATTCAATTACATTAATGAATTTAACAACAAATTGCAATTAGATGGTGTAGGGAATATTTCAAGCATTACCCCTAACTTGAACCCCATTGTGATCATACACTAAAGTACGGTGGCGTCTAAAGGGAAAGAAGATAGAGCAAAAGAGTCGCCAACAAGTTTTAGGAACTTGTAAACCGTTCACGAGGTGAAGGTTACACCCCTTAACGATCCAGGAGATCGTCAACTCCAATAGGTCTGGAACCATGACTGATAGTTCGGGGATGAAGGTACAAATCCAACCTAAAAGAGATTGAACCTGCCCTAATAATAGGCCTCTACTTTATTCTGATCGTATTCATGTGCGCTTTCTGACTAACATGCAATCAATAGGTTTACCCTAAACCTGTTTAATCTATGTTGGTTGAATATTAATGCACAAATAAATCTATTATTGGCAATCACTTGAATTATAATCAAATTAACCTTAAACAAGATTATTAATTATCTTATTAAGCGTGATTACAAGTACAAATTCCCTTTAAACATGCATAAAAGGCGTGATCAAACAATAACAATAAATATCAAGCAACATAATATTCATAATAATAACAATTATAATCATAATAAAAATAATCACAATTAAAATAACCATGTTAAAGCATAATAATAGCATGCAAGATCCTAGGCATGATACTAACAAGATTAATAACAAACCCTAGCATGTCACTAAACAATAAAAATCAAAGCTTTAACCCTAACATGATACTAACATGAATATTAGGAAGAAAATAGGAAGCATCATGGAAATCATAATTGACATTATACTTTACCCTAGACATGATACTAGGAAGCAATAAAAACATCCTAAACATGATTCTAGGAATCAAAATAACAATCTAAGCATGATTTCTATATCAAAATATCAATAAAATTAATTAAAGTACTTACTTGGATGCCTCGTACCTCTTTCTAATAACAAAATACACACGTTAGTAACTTCAAGGAAAATAATAAACAAATAATTAAATTAAATAATTGAAAGAGAGATTTGGGACCAAACCCTCAGAAATTAAAACCTTTCACGTCTAGGGCAAAGGCAAATTCAAATTATGCTAGGTGTTTCTTGGTCTTGTGAATGCGGAATTTTGTATGCAAAAAGGTTAGTTTAGAAAAGAGAGAGAGAGAGAGAGAGAGAGAGAGAGAGAGAATAAGCTTTAGCTTAGAGAGAAAAGAGAATTAGAGAGTTGTTGATGAAAAACGGAGGTTTTAGGAGGATATTAATAGAGAAAAATCAGCCAAACGGATAGAAAATAAATCAGGGTTTCGACAAGGATAAAAGAAGTTAGCGCCAGAAGCTAAGGCTAGCGCCAGGCGCCAAGCATTAGCGCCAGGCACTAATGTCTGTTGTCAGGCACTAATTATTATTTTCACGCGTTTTCTTAATTCAGATAAAATTTAGCCGTATTGAAGGGAAAAATCGTATTTTCCTTAAAAACACTATTTTATTCTGATTAAAACTCTAAAAAGTCAACAAAAGTCAATTTATCAATGCTAATTGAATTAGGAATGAAAAGAACCTTCTAGAAGAATCTAAACAACTAAAATCAATTCTAATTGCATTAGGAATGATAAATCCATATTAGACCCTTCTCTACATCATTGGGCCGCATATAAATATCAAAACGGGCCCAGTTTAGTAATTTGGCAATAACTTCCTCATTATTCATCGGAATTGGGCTTATAATATATCGTTGGAAAACTCTTTTCATGGCCCATCCAACTACACCATTATTGGACCCTTGCTATGGACCAAACCAAACTGGATTGGCTGTTTTATTAAAATAGGTTTTCAAAAACAGAGAGAAAAGAAAAGAAATTAAAACTATCCGCAACACTAGACTTTCTACAATTTCACTTCATTCGATTATGATTCGACGCGAAAGGTACTCATCACTGGGTTGGTTTTGGGGAGACACAAATGGGTGTCTACAGAAACCCCCACTTTGACTGAGTTTGGAGAAACGCAAGTTTCGAAAACAAAAGTCAAAGTATCGATAGGGACGGAGAATGATTCAGAACGTTCTGCGATCCTAAATCATTCTTGTAACGCCAATACCTGCAAACTAGCGTTAGTTAAAACAGATAAAAGAGTTAAGAAACGCGTATCTTGCACCGTCGAGCACACGTTTCTAGAGGTAACTTATTTATTCTGACGATCTTCCGCAAGCTAGAGAATATCCCCTGAAGACTGCTACGCCTGTAACTGCCTCCAATTTCCGCTGTGATAGTCTTCGAAAAGATCACTGCTCGTTGATCCTTAATGCTCTATGCCAGTACGTCGGCACTTTGCTGCTTGTAAACCAGTATGTCGGTGCTTTTGTTGTGATGACAATCCTATTTTCTTTGGGAATAGCTGCCAACACAACTCTTGTATGATGTATGACAATCCGATTTAGGGAAAGTTGTCAATGCTTCGTAACAATCCATCCTTGGAAATGTTGCCACGATGAAGCGACAATCCGTATCTCGAAAATTTTGCCAAAATCCAATTTTGGGAAAAGTTGCCAATGCTTCGTAACAATCTGTCATAAGAACTTTGCTACAATTGATAATCCACATCTTGGAATATAACTCTTGAAAGCAATCCGCCTTGGAAATTTTCCAATGCTATGCGACAATCCTTTTAGGAAAATATTGCCACAATTGACAATCCGTGTCTTGGAACATTTGCAAAAAAGAGTTGATCGACAATCCACTTTGGGAAAATTTGCCACTTGCTGAAATGAATGACAATCCACGTTGAGGAACCTTTGCTGAAATTTATGATGAATAGAAACCTACGACAATCCTTTGGGAAATTTTGCCAGAGATGACAATCCAATCTTGGAAAAATTGCTAGCGATGACAATCCAACCTCGGAAAAAATTGCCAAACAGAGAAGGAGCACGACAATCCACACTTGGAAACTTTGCCAGAGATGACAATCCAATCTTGGAAAAATTGTCGTTGAAGAAGATGCACGACAATCCATATTTGGAAATATTGTCAGTTGGGGATGACAATCCAATTTTTGGAAAAATTGTCATTTAAGAAGAATGCGCGACAATCCATATTTGGAAATATTGTCGTTTAAGAAGAATGCACGACAATCCGTATTTAGAAATATTATCGTTTAAGTGCTTGCTTTTAAACCGATACGTTGGTGCTTGTAATGAGCCAGTGTTTTAGGCGCTTAAGCTAAGTGAGACGATTTTTTGTCAGGTCAATCACTTACTACGATTGTAATGCAGCCGAC